ATATAATACGCAGAGAAGGTACAATCTTGCATGAGTTCTGCTTTCCCAGGCTGGATAAGAAAGCGAAGCGTATGGTTTTTTAGGGCATAAAAACAAGATGAAATATTTCCTGTCATCAAACAAACAGTCATAGCATTCGAAACTCGGCTCCCACGTCCCTGTTGCCATTCTTAACTTTGATCATTTTGTTTATCTTGCAACCAGCATTAACACCAACAACAATGCCAGCCTAGAAATCCTGTGCAGAAGAACCCTTGCCAAAAGTTAAAAAGTAAAGCTCTCACGACGAAACTTTTCATGTTCCGATCCAGAGTCATGGTCGATCACAATATCTGATAAGTCGGCGTTAGGAATTTTCGACAGAAAGGTTTTGAGTAAAATTTATTGTCCTCTTCGACTTGGAGAACGGCTAATACCACAGCCTATTAAACGATGAGCTGTACGAATGATGAAACAGCAGCAGCGATGGCTAGGTCATGTGGTCCAGATGGATAAGAATATTCAAATTTCGGATGCAGAGCCCGCCGGTGGAGAAGGAATAAATGGCGCAATGTTGTTAACTCGTTTGAAGAAAACTTTTAGGAAAATGTAGGCCAGGATAATTTTATATTTTTTTACACACACGTTGTCCGTACTCACCTCTTCAAATGTGGCTTGATTTCTTGAAATTAGTCTTCAAAGCTGAAACCAAGTAAAATTTAAACAAAGAACATTCTTCATAATTGCTTATCGGCGAAAGAATTTGTTTTTTGTCCACGGCGTCAACCTCAACAGGGGGAATAAAAATGGTGGCAGACTTGTTAAGTAATTGTTATCACTCAGGTTTCAAACAAATACAGGTGCCATGTGTCTTTCGGACCAGAGGGAGAGGGGATTCAGATGAGTTAGTTTTAGGGGACACCCAATTAGGTGGTTAGTGTCCAGCCAATTTATTTGTACGTTGCCAGCAAAATTTCTTTATCTTTTCTCGAGGTGCTGCCGGCTAACGCTTTGAGGATTTTGCTGTGGCTCTGGAGTTTTGCGGCAATTATGGTCGTATGCCGTGTGAAGGCTGTCGAGTGTGACTTTTTGTTGTTTATAGTCAGAATTTTACGCCGTCGACTATCACATCGAGTTCTAGCCAGTGCTTTTTCATCCAGTTGTGGGCTACAGTCTTAATTGTCTTGCAGAGAAGAAGTGGAAAGGCAGTTTTCTTTCAAACAAAAGACATCAATATCCTGGCCAGACGCCAATATTGAGCAATCATCAGAATATGAAATCAGGGAAACCCCTTCTGCTGAAAGAGAGAGCTTCGAGATGTAGAAGTTAAACTGTAATGGGGAGAGGCAACCACCTTGCGGAACCTCTTGTTTAATCTTCCTAAATTTCGATGTTTGACGTCTAAATTCCACTGACTATTGACGATAATTGATCCACCTCAACACCGGCGTTCATGAGGATTCCTAAATGTCCGATAGTAGCACTGAATGGTTGACCGTGTCAAAAGCTTTTGACAGGTCCAGCGTTACCAGCACAGGGCCGGTTTTGATTAAGACCAATGAATATCTGAGTATTATTTGGGTGGCCAAAGACGGTATAAGAATCTTTGTGTTTTAGCATCAGCGAACATATTCCGTCGGGACCGATGGGTTTGGGGTCTTTCGCCTTTCCGATAACCCCATGGAGAGATCAAGTGCGCGCAGACGACGGTTCACTTGTCACTTAATCTAGTTTACTGAATTGTGTAGTGCTAAAAGTCGACTAAAATGGATCACGCACTTCTTCGGATCCGGCGAGTCTGGGTTACACAACGAAATTTCCATAGCGTCTCGTCGGGTTAGACGATTTGGCCACAGATTTTGTTGACCCAGAGGATTGATTGCAGGACTTTTTGTGCCCCACTTGTTTCGCTTAACTTTAAGGCGAATCTCCTAATAGAAATCCCTGATAAAAACAGATTTCCGGGACCGATTTGACTTATGAAGTCGTGTGTCTAAGCTAAAACCGACGTTCATTATAAGTATAAATAATAATTATTCGAAATCTGGTCTTGGACCTGCCATCAACCAAGTGAGAGAAAAGTGAAATATAAAGTGCCGTTATTAAGTACTTTACCGTTCAATTGCGACCATAATGAATGATATCCCTGCAAGAACGGGCTGATGGGTTCACCAATACACTCACACGATTACGGGCAGCACCAACACATAAGCACAATTTTTTGTTTATCATTCTCTTCTGAGCACATACAAATTGAAGAAAAACGCACTTGAACGGATTACCCGATTTTTTTTTTTTACTTAGACGTCTTTATACTCCAAAGGAGCTACGATTATGACGGACGCGTTCATAGAGCTAAGGAGCTGCGCCACCAACGCATGACTCTGTATATGCGGCTTTCTTATAATATGTTGCTGATTTTTGAAAACGAAACGATACGATACATATATAAACCATGTACCTGATCTATGTAAAAATATTGGATTAAAGACTGTGTCTTAATATTGTTTGTATGTATGTATATATGTGGGGAAAACTTTTGTCAGAGCTGATTTCCTTTGTCATCAATACCGTCGCTCATCTGTGTTTAGCTTTTACGGCACTGCTGCGCCTTTTTTCGTCAATATTGTTTTCTTTTGGCACAAATGCTAACAGAGAAACGTCAGTACACGTATACAAATGTAAACATTACGTTTGCCATTTCGGCTTTAAGAACGTGATGGGAAAATGGTTCTACGAGCTGACGGAATATGACATCATGCATTCCTGTTATGTTGTTGTTTTTGTAGTGGTTCTCTAACCCCGCTTAGGTACAGGTTTGATTAATCTAAGTCACCGAGGTCATCTAATGGGAGGTCCAGGGCATTTTAAGAGGTGGTCAGTGTCGTGCGGAGACTCGAGTCTGAATAAGTAGGAGTTTAATCTGCTACAGTATCCAGACCTAAGTTGTGCCAAGGTCACGCGGGTCTGTCGAGGCAGCTCGTTGTCTGCTATGGGTGGTGATTTTACTCCGAGCACGTCATTCCCTGGAAGGGAGTCATTGAAGGTGTTGACTGACTCCTGGTGAATGACGTTCAGGGCTTGTCTGTACGCCGTTGTTGTTGTTGTTGTTGTAGCGGTCCGCTAACCCCGCTTAGGCACAGGTTTGATCAGTCAAAGTCGCCGAGGTCATCTAGTGGGAGGTCCAGGAAACGTGCTTTTTTGACGGGGTTGCACCATAAGTTGAGAGGGCATGTTAGTGTCGTGCGGAGACTCTCCACATGCAGGGCATATGTTGGGTATTCTGGGGTCTAGTCTAGATAAGATAGACCTAAGGTGTGCCAAGGTCACGCGAGTCTCTCGTGGCATCTCGAGCTCGTTGTCTGCTATGGGTGGTGATTTTACTCCGAGCACGTCATTCCCTGGAAGGGAGTGTTTGAAGGTGTCGACTGACTCCTGGTGAAAGATGTTCAGTGCTTGTCTGTACACCGTCCTGACCATCGGTTGTTGTTGCACATGTTGCTGGGTTGTGTCCCTAAATCTTGTACTTTCTGATGGGCCTAGGTGGAGGTTCAGCTTCCATTAGGGGTGCTCTCTGCGGTAATATCCCGATAGGAACTGCTTGCACAGCAAAGCATTATGCTCCTTAAATCGTAGCATAGATGCTTCGCTGTGCAAGTTACGCTCCGGCGACATCAGGAGGCTTCCTGTCGCAGACCTGAGGGCGGTGTTCTGCCAAGCCTTTAGCTTCTTTATCTACGTCTCGTTTGTCCCTGGCGCCCAGATCGGCGCAGCATAGTTTACGAACGGCCGGCCAATTGCTTTATAAGTTGCCAGCAAATTTTCCTTGTCTTTACCCCAGGTGCCGCCGGCTAGCGCTTTGAGTATTTTATTGTGGCTCTGGAGTTTTGCGGCAATTGCGGTCATATGCGGAGGAAGGAGTGCAGGCTGTCAAGTGTTACTCCCAATATCTTTGGGTTATTTACCGTCGAAATTTTTACGTCATCGACCTTTACATCTATTTCTAGCCTGTATTCCTTCGTCCAGCTGGTGAAGAGGTTAGCCGAGGATTTAGTCGGCTGTATTTTCAATTGTCGCACAGTGAAGAAGTGAGAAAGATCGGCAAGGTAGACGTTCAATTTCGAACAGAGGTCATCAATATCCCGGCCAGACGCCATTATCGTACAATCATCGGCATACTAGGTTAGTTAAACTCCTTCTGGTGTAGGAGGAAGTTTCGAGATATAGAAATGAAACAGTAGCGGGGAGGGACATCACCCTGCGAAACCCCCTGTTTAATTTTTTTTTTGTTTCACCTCGGAATATTACCGATGATTGTCGACCACTCAGGTAGCCCTCGTCAGAAATTCTGCTCCCTCGAGAAATCAAGCACCGCGCTGGTGTTTGGCAGTTTGCGCATATGGCGGGTTAGACAACGACTTGACTCTAGCCCAGAGCTTGGTTGCCCCATGCATTCATGCACTCCTGTTATATGTTGGATCAAATATTCGGAAGCCTTCTTACAGAGCTCTTAACAATATTAATATTAGTCATACGAAGAATATAAAATAGTTTTGTTTAACTTTTTGGAGTTTTTGTTATCCCAATAGAATGTAGATACAAATAAAAAATATTTAAGAGACCTATAACTAAGTATTAGTGAACAAGAAAACTCAAGAATCTCCCTACTGTCCCTAATAATTTGGTCACCTAATGTACATACATATATGTATAAATGTAACCACTGAAGCGATTTTCGGCGAGCTCCACCTACATTTATGCGTGTTGATATTTGGAGGGACCAACAGTTTATTTTAAAATCCTCCGAAGGTCCGATAAGCACCGCTAACCTACCTATCGACTGCATTAAGACTTTAGAAAAAAAATAAACTTGTTTCTTTTTAAATATGTTTTATTATATTTCTTTCTTCTAAGTTTTGGATTTTTTTTTTTGTAAACTTAAAATTTATAGTTTTTTTAACTCCAAAAATATGTATGTATGCAAATATACAAAGAACTTCAACTTCAAAAAATAATACTTACGACTGTTTTCTGCCAACATGTTTTTCAAACAAGTTGTAACCTGTAATAGAAAATTTTCTTTTATTACTAAATTATATTCCCCCTGATAAAAAAAAACACATGCTTCTTTTATTTTAATCAGTAGGACCTATTTTTGAGGAAAAATGTGTTGCGGTTAATGCGAATCATGCCACATATATCAGAATCCTTTTTTCATCAAACAACAGCTTTAAAGGTCTAATTTAAAATAAATAATAGTACACACCTCAGGTAAACTTATTTTATTCCATTCTAAGGCGGCAATCATGGTAGCACGTGGTATAAATTTCCAGCAGCGCTTTGCAGAATTGACCAAAATACAAAACTGAAGAAAGAAAAATAGAAAATCACACATCAATAAAACTTTTGTATGTAAATATGTAATGTATGTATATATGTAATGTATGTATATATGTAAAGTATGTATATATGTAATGTATGTATATATGTAATGTATGTATATATGTAATGTATGTATGTTCAACTTCTGAACTGAAACTGCGTACAATTTAGAAGTAGAAAAGTAGTACAAATGCAATATCAATGAAATATGCTTCTTCTTCTTTTTGAATGAAATTAAATTTGTTTTTTGTTTTTTGGAAAACATTTTTTTGCAGAAATATAACTATTTTCACTTTATCTTTGAACTTTCCCTTTTATAGCCCGACTTCATTAGATATATTTTCAAGATGCAATTTAAAATTTCCTTACCTATTATTGAACGAGTCTTGGACATGGACATACATATGAATATTTCCCATAATGATGTTTTCATGTAAACTATAAGTAAAAATATCAATAATTAGATAATTTGAAAAGTCGGTTCAAAGTTTCATAATAAATATTAACTCAGTAAGACCAATCAAATCGCATTCAACATGAAATTAGTTTTCAGTTAGGGGCGAAAGTTATTGTTCATCATTAAGTTATTGTTGTGCCTTATCAAATATATAAAAAGAATACTTACAACTTCAAACTCGTAGATAGTACATACAGATGAGCCCAAACGACCAATAAAATATATCTATATATAAACAAAAAAACATCGGATTAGAGCTATTTTTACTTTTTAAATATGCTTGGATATAAATACAATAGAAAATATATTTATTTCTCAGTAAGACCAATCAAATCGCATTCAACATGAAATTAGTTTTCAGTTAGGGGCGAAAGTAATTGTTCATCATTTGAAATACATATATTGTATACAAAAAAAGACTTGATTAAAGTTGCAAAAAAGATATATTAAAACGTATACTTACATTTTTCATTATAAGTGGAGTAAGACATGTTATTTGTGGTACATGCAAATTCTGGAATATAGAAGAAAAATGCTATTGAATAAAATCTTGTAACGAGAAGAGATTTATTTTGCACATTAACTACTCAGTAAGACCAATCAAATCGCATTCAACACAAAAATTTTTATTTTTTCAGTTAGGGGCGAAAGTAAGTTGTTCATCATTAGCAATTTAAGAGTGTAAAAAGTTTATGTCTTAAATCCTTAGGCTCTTAATCTCAGTTTTACTCACCTTTTAAAATCGATTGAAATCAGAATGTGCTTTCAAACATAATTTATCCTGCAATAAAAATGTTTTTTATTAATAATGTGTTCTCAATTTCATGAAAATCAATATGAACTATATACTATTCTAATCAGTAGGACCTATTTTATGAGGAAAGTTGTGTTGCGGTTAGTGTGAATCATACCACACATATCAGAATCCTTTTTTCATCAAGCAAGATTTATATATAAAATTACGAAAAATACACTTACCAAATTTGAGTAGAATTGTGTTGTTGCTAATGTGAATTCCTCCACATATAGACATCCTTGGTTTTACTCAGAAGGTGCCCCCATGACCTTTAAACATGTTTAATCCTGCAAATAGAAATATATTTTTTTTAATAATGTGTTCTCAATTTCATGAAAATCAATATGAACTATATACTATTCTAATCAGTAGGACCTATTTTATGAGGAAAGTTGTGTTGCGGTTAGTGTGAATCATACCACACATATCAGAATCCTTTTTTCATCAAGCAAGAATTATAAATACTTAATACTTATTACAAGCACTTAGTCTTATGTATATGCTCAGTTTTACTTACCTTCAAAACGGTTGAAAATTTTGATTATCTAAACTCGGCTGCCTGAAAACAGAAATTAAAAGTATATAGCAATAATACATAGGAATTACATAACTAATTTTAGTTTTTAATAAAATCAGTAAGACCAATCAATTCGCATTCAACATGAAATTTATATTTCAGTTAGGGGCGAAAGTTATTCGTTCATCACGTAAAAACAACGTATTTATACTTTAAGTAATTTAACTTACATTTTTAGGTGTAATGTATTCATCATTCTGGTTTGTACTAAATTCCTTACATCCTGCAAAAAATAAAGAAAAATAACGAATTTAATAATCGATAAAAAATTAAATATTTAGCAGTTACACATTATAACTCAGTAAGACCAATCAATCGCATTCAACATGAAATTAGTTTTCAGTTAGGGGCGAAAGTAATTGTTCATCACTTTAATTTCAAGAATAATTTTAATTTTAATTTGTTATTTACCTGTAATTGAGTTTTAGCAGGTAAATTGAGTATTCCTTCCCATTACGCAGTATATTCACTTCTATAGAAATATCAATTTAATAATAATTAATATGTATAGATATAATACGTACCGCAATTATTACTAAATTTGTATTCATTAACACCACTTATTCTTAATGTTTCTAAATAGAGCTAGTCCTTTGTAATTGCAATGTATTATACAAATTTTTTATTATATATTTTTTTTTTTATAAGAACCATACTTAGGTGACAAGCCAGGTCCACAGCTTGCAAACGTTAAGTAAGGTCTACATTTTCCAGACTTACATTTAGTCTTATAGCTAAAATCATACTAGTAAGTATAGTAGTTGAACTCAGGTTGGTACGATATATGTAAGTTTTACAATTCTTACAACTGCCATATACATGTATAACAAATTATTGAATTGAATCGTGTTAACATATATATACAGCATGTCAAACCTACATATGTACATATGCTTACAATATTTATTAATAAAAGTATCTTAAATTAATAGAAAAGTGTAGTACTTTGTAAAAAATGCATTGTAATTACAAATCAAAAAATTGTAATGAACTTTTGAGCCGTCTCTTTAATCCTGTGCTTCTCTTTCCCTATCTTTATCCTTTTTCTTCTTCTTTTTCTTTTCCTTCTTTTCTGACGCCTGCACTGATTCTTCATCTACAACGGCTGCAGTTTCCTCAAGAGCCTCTTTATCTGCTTTATGCTTCTTCTTTTTTTTCTTTTCAGATTTCTCCGCCACATCCTCTACTACTTTTGCAGCAGCCTCATCTTGGCTGGACGAACTTAACTTGCGCTAAAAGTTTAACAAAGGAAAGTAAATTTATGTAATTAAAATGTAAACAAAATTTTAATTTCTGGCTAATCTTACCTTTTTACCCTCATCTGCACCATTCCCATTAGCCGAAACATTATTTTGCGGGGTTACAGCTGTAGCAGGCTTCTTTGCATTGTAATCAACAAAGCCAGTTAACCACTCCTTAGGGGTATTTTCATTTGGTCGCCCATATTTGTCCAATTTTCCTGCGGCAATGAGGGCCTTCTTTGCAGAGGCTTTTGGTCCTAAGCCCCATTTACGCGGATATGTATCTCTCTCCATGATAACACGTTTAATCTTTGCTACCACACCGTGATCACATGAAGCCATTGTTGCCGTTGTCATCTGTGCGACGGCCAAGCAGACCGCCTCACCTTTCGTAGTTACGATCACTATTTCTTGATCAATTTCTATACCGTCTTCATATCGTAAAACACCAGGCAACATAATTTTGGCACCATAACAGACAGCATTCACCTGGAATTCGAAAATATAGGATAATAATATTAAACATTTGCTTCACAAGTAGATATTTTCTCCTTCATATCATATATTAGTAACTAAATGAGTACAAATATGTATGTGCTCCGAATCATTCTTTGTTGCAATCAATTTAGTAAATATTGCCCCATACACACATCGGATAAACATTTTTGTTCCCAATCATAGTCACAGGAAAATGTTATTATCTTTTTCCTGCCGGCTTATATCATGGGGTGAACTAACGAATTTTAATTGATTACTTGTGTGTAAATTTGACTTAAAATACACGTATCTAATTCTTGATAAAATAAAATATTTTCTGAATAAATCTTTATTTCAAAGCAGGTGTAACGCTCTAAAATATACACACTTCGGAATAGATTTTATGTTCCCAATCATAGTCACAGAAAAAACTAGAAAAATATTTGTTCTGCCGGCTTATATCATGGGGTATTAATATAAAGGCATGGACATCTTGAAATTTTCAAAATTTTCACAAAGTATATAATTTATGTATGTGGTTAGCTTTTCTTTGCATTTGTACATAAATTTATTTGATGTCATAATGAAATAAAATTATGTGCAAATATTGATATACTTACCGAGCTATCTTTCATAATGATACGCTTGTGGTTAACAAGTAAGCCTTCCAATGGCTTTATAACTCGGCGAAGCATGGACTCGTCCTTGTGGTTTTCGTACAAGTACATGGCATCCAAAACATCATGCATTGTGACCATACCATCACGTTCCGATTGTATTCCAGATCGAACACGTCTTAACTCCAACATTTGACCACCTACTCCTAAAACTAGGCCCAAATGTACGCACATGGTACGAATATAAGATCCAGCCTCGCAGCTAACCCAAAAAACGCCTTTAGAATTTGATACGAATCAAGAGAAAAATACTTCTTAAGATTAAATGTTCGTTTGCAAGTTAATATGCAAAAACTTATTATTTTTAATTTAGCATTTTATATATTCATATTAATCGAAAATAACACCAATCATATTCAGATGTGTTGTTAAAATCAATTTGACAATGCCATTGATATTATATAACTCAACTTACCCATATTGCGCGCTTCATCATAATCTAATAGTTTACTGTCATAGACTGTGCGAACACGTAACTGTCTTTTAACCGCGGAAATTAAAGGCGGACGTTGGAAAAGAGCGCCACGTAGTTTTTCTAAACCTTGACGAACTTTTGCAACAGATTCCACCGGAGAATGCAATTTGAATATAGCAACGTACTCTTTACCAGCACTTTGTTGTGACTTTACGAGGCGGGTTGCACGGTCGATACATACAATGAGACATCCTGAAGATGAATGGGAATATTTATTTTGAATTACAAGTCTATTTCTATGAATAAAAGCATTTACCTGTTACTTTAGGATCAAGTGTTCCCGAGTGTCCTGTTTTTTCTACTTTTAAAATTTTTTTAATCCAGGCAACAACTTCGTGGGAACTAGGGTTCGAAGGCTTATCTAAGTTTATAAAACCAGACTTCATGTATTCTCTGATATCTCTACCGAGAGGCGATGATCCATGTGGTAAAGGTGTGTAATGATTAGTGCGTACGTTCAGCTTATCGAAATTCTTTAATAACAAAGGCCATTGCGATGCATCTAACTTAGCAGATTTCTCGGATGGCTTAACTGAAAAGTCGCCAGTTTTTTGTAAAACACCAAGATCGTCCACATCGAGGGGCTCTTCTTTGATCTTCTTCTTTTTCTTTTCCTTTTTTATTTCTACAAATATAAAGACAGCGAGTTATGAATAAATAATAACACAATTTACCAACAGTTACAAAGAATTGAGAGTTCTGGATAATTATAATTATCACAGTTTCATTATTAAAATTTCTCTTACCAATATCAGCCATAATTATAAAACAGCAGCACTAATAGAAGACACGTTTTAAGGAGCAACACGTCCGGCAATCAAAAGAAAGGTTATAACGAGATGTCAAAATACAGGGATGTAATAAATCGACATCTTTGGCGCAAACTCATTGAAGCACGTGTTTAAATAGAGTGACCAGATCTCATTATGTTAATTGATCAATCATAGAGAATAGCTAAGTGTCACTTAGCTTTTATGTTCAATAAATTATGGTATTTGCATTAATTAATTAATATACGTTCTTTGCTCTGGTGTAAGCGAGCGTTTTATAAATAACGGCATTATGATTTACATTGCTTGTTCTCTCAATATTGAACACGGACTACCTACACACGTCACGCCATTTGATTACTTATGTTGAAAATGAATTGAAAATTGAAAGTAGAAATTTAAGTTTTTAGTAAAGCTTAATAAAATATTGAATTTAATTGGAGATGTTATTATTATTATTATCGACTTTACTTCCAACCATGCAACAGTGCTAGTAAGTGGAAAAGGTGGTAGATATCTGCAATCTTGGCCTCCGGTACGCACTGGTAAAGATCAAGACAAAATTGCGCTATCTTTTTCATTGAGGCTAATTTTTCGAAAGCCTCTTAATGTGAGAATCACGAAACAAGCAGTTAAATTTAACGATGTGATAAATTCGTTTTCATTTTCTCGACCTCCTTTTAAATGTCTATTTAGATTAGAAAAAGGTGGCAGCGCTACAAAGAAGAAGCTCTCTTAGCATTAAGCCGCACAGAGGCTCCTTCAAACCTTTCCTCAAGCTCATGATTATAAAACACCCGTATATTTTTTTATTATTTTAACGTGTTTAAAGATAAGTCAAATTTTAGCATGTTGCCGATAAACGACTCTAAAGATATGGAGGAGTATTTTTTTTTATTAAACCCATCAATTAAATTTATATAATTTTCTGCTCCGTATTATTCCATTAAATTTAATATCCCCCTGTACATTGCCACTTTCATAATAATTTCATTTTTTTCATTTGTAATGTTCCATTAACTTTTGTTTAAAAAATAAATTGGGCTCCAAAACGATTTTTAATTATGATTTTCCCCATTGTTTATTGTGAGCACGAATTTGTACGGCGAATTAAGTAATTTGGAGCTCGAGCTGCGATTGTGACAGCGAACAACATAACTGGGGTGCTCTGGACTTGCTGTGTTAGAGAAAAAAAAGTTTCATCTACACTGAGTATTAAAGTGTTTTAGTCGGCATACTATTTATTACATTCGCAAATCTTTTCTCTATGATCCAATTGCAACCCTTCGATTACTGCTGAATACAGCTGAAAACTTATTATCTGACGTTGAGTTTTATAAAATTCAAAATGGCATTTTCTCCAATTTAATAAAGTTGAGAAATTTTTACGCTGGTTTGTTTTTGTACAACGGAATAAAAAGTTAAATAGCCTTTAGAATTTTGAACAAATAACGTTTTCCTTATAAATTTATATAAAGAGTAGTGCTGATTTCATAAAAGAGGAAAATAATTATTGAATTGATAAAATGCCGCGCACCAAAGTTTCTAAATCTACCAAACGTTTTCGTGAGGCTTCTAGTTGTGAAGAAAAATTGCGGGAGTTCGAAGCCTCTTTTGATGGCTATATGCACGCATTGGAAATGAAAGCCAAATCACAAATAGAATCCATTGAAGAAAAGTTTTATATGCTATTAATGCGTACCGATTCAAGTGTGCTTAATTTACGTATGGGTGACGTTCTAGCGCTGGTATGTACAAGTGACATTTCTTTTAAATAGTTATGTTTTTGTGACTCCATGTCTCTTTTAAGAATTTAAAAACACTGGAAGATTGCAAAAAATATTCGAATACATTGGCCGCCAGCAGTACCAGTGGAACCAAACAAGGCTCAAATAAACAGTTAAATCCGAACGATGAAGGTAACAATTTTTTTGCAATAAAAATATTAATGTTGCACATTGAGATTCCTTCATTTTACAAATTTTTAAATCATATATATTTTTTTATAACCTTGGTGCTGGTTTCGCTTATAATAAAATTTCTTTTTCTTTTGCTTTTGCACATTTCTCATTTTCCTCTCATATAACTTGCATATTCATTTCTCAACACATCACGCTCGTCTTAACACTATTTAAAATTAAAAAAAAAAAAAAAAAAAAATACTGGAAAAAGGTTACCTTACAGAGGACAGCACAAATAGTGGCAGTGCAATAGGTGTCTCCACATCGATTTTAACTGCATACAGCCAGTCATCTTTAAAACAGCAGCAGCAGCAGCAGCAACGTGGCCGCACTCCTGGGCCATTAAGTTCGGCCCGAGCTCGTCGTCCTCGTCGTAGCCGGTCTGTTTGTGACGAAATACACGCCTCAGCAATTAAATCTACGACAAGTTCATCTAGTATTATGGATACTCGTATTTCTAGAAGCAAAATGCGCACACCCACCGCAAGCCGTTCAAAGGCGTTCAGTGCTGATCGCTCTTCTCAAATTTGTGGGCAACAATTCCCGTCGTCAACTTCCGTACAATCTCCAGCGGCTGCTTTTTTAAGGTGGCCTAAACCTGGTGAGGTAGTTTTATCCAAATGTGGAAGTCCAGTGGTAGCACATGTGTAAGTAATTATGTATAGATACATATATTTATATAATTGCAACCTATTAAAGGTGGTAAACTTTTTCGAAAGTTACATATTTTCTGACATAATATATATTGATAATTAGTAATTGTGATGAGTATAAGTCGCTATTTTAATATTTTGAAACATTCAGTCCGCCCATGACATACATACATAAATATTCGTCTTTGAACGTAGTTTTGCTTTCTTATTATTTACAGAATGCCGGATAAATACGCTAATGTTAATATTCCTACAAAAAATGGAATTTTTTCTTTACGTCCAAAGAAATTGGAGGAATTGAAAACAGACATCATAGAAGCAATAGATTCAGACACACTTAACCAAATCAGAACACTGCATGACAACCTAAATTTAATTATGAAAATGGCTGACGGTTCGTTGCCGAAATAGTTCTTCGCAACGTAATAATATCTCTCAATTCATACAAATTCCTATAATCTCTTCTAAATATAATATTAACATCATACACTTCTTACTTTTTCTTTTTATCTTCAAATCAACAACTATAATGGACACAACGTTTAAAATTGTTAATGAAATGAAATTAAATATTTATAAAACACAATAATTTAGAAACTTATCATTTCTATATGTAATTCCGTATACATGTAGTTTAGTAATTAATAAAGCAATAAATAAGAAATTCATTACATCCTTCAACCTTTGATCTTATGTATTTGGTAAGTGTGCAAACGAAGTTGGGCATTAAATATAAAGTTAAAATATTAAAGGTATGTATATAAAAGAAAACTGACACCGTGGTTGTTGCCCATTACCTGACACGCATAAAATTATGATGATAACGTGAAAATTGTGCCACAAGACAAAACAAACCTTTTACTTATGCAGCCTAAAATTGTTCGAGCGAGAAGGTTGTGTGCTTAGTATTCTTAGCTGACATATCTTTGAGGATATACATATATGTATACATCACATATCTGAAATTATTAGAGCTGCGTTCAATCAAATAAATCTTATTTAAAATATAATGCATGAGAACCAGAGTTTCTGGTACGTGGATGTCGAGTAGTTCTCTGCTCGAAATCAGAATCTCCAGCGAAAAGTGCCTGTAAAATTTGCCACAGATATTATGTACACCTCATACATGCTATTTATTCATTTATTTATTCGAAATCTTTTTTTACTTAATTGAATTTTTTCTGAAAATACTATTATTTAAAAGCGAACATAAATTACTTTCCAATTCTATGTTTCCAGGAATGAAGTTAACAATATATATAAATCCTACGATGCGCAAATATAAGCTTGCGCTGAAATTAAATAAACAAATTTTTTGAATTTAAAAAATTTTAATTATTTTTTACTTTATTAATTCATTTGTTAATAAGAAAAAATAAATTTCAAGGTTCTACCGAGATTTGAACTCGGATCGCTGGATTCAAAGTCCAGAGTGCTAACCATTACACCATAGAACCGTTTATAAAATTTCGTCCCATTGTTGCATTTAACATCTAACCACTTTAACAGTAAAATCTCACGATTATAAAATTCTCTGTTAACACTAGGGCACATATGCACATGAAAAGAATGTTAACACAATGAAAAGCCGCAAATGTTAAGTCAAATCCGATTGCTTAGCACGTACACGAACCATTAGATGACCGGTCGAAAGTAGTCACGACCCAAGGGGAATGGCAAAAAGGCGATTTCGCCAGAGAACTTAAATAAAGTTATATATATAATATTATAAGTTCTCTGGCTGGTGCGCAATTGAACCTTCTCGTTATTATAAGTTTTCTGATTTAGCACTCAAATTGCAAGAAGAAAAATTAGAGAACGCTAACACGTAATTTACGTTCTCTGAACTACAATTGAGAGAATGAGAGCAAAATCAGCAAAACGTTATTTAGCAGAAATTTAAACACGAGGTTCTATGGTGTAATGGTTAGCACTCTGGACTTTGAATCCAGCGATCCGAGTTCAAATCTCGGTAGAACCTACCAAAGCGACAAGAACAATCTACCTAATCTTTGGAGTCAATTTTTTTGTTTACTTTTTTCTATTTCTTTAAAATAATTCTTCTCTTTTTTTACATGGTTTTACATCAACAAATTTTAAATATTTGTATTTCTTCTATCTCAAAAGTTTATTATTATCCTAACTGTTTTTAAAATCTATTTAATTAATTGCAATATGTAAGAGGGAAACATTTTAAGTGAACTATATTAAAAATTGTAAGTATACATAACGAACAAGCTCTGAGGACCAGCTCGAAAAATGACTTATGCTTGTTAGAATTGAAATTTTTCAAGTATAACATAGCAGGAAAATGCTTAATAGCCACAAATTTCATTTATAATTTATTGAGACATTGAATTGTTCACGCCAATATTTTTATCAAAATCGACATGTATTCAAAGAAGCAATTTTATAACTTGCTCCAAATAGTACCGCTCATCCAGAAATCTAATTAAATGTTTTTACTTTGTTTTTAATCATAGTCTAGTTAATGTAGGGGTTTTAGCTCATAGCTGGCCTTAAGGTTAGAGCGGCTTAATGTGCCGCAAGAATTAAAATTAATTTTTGGATTTGGATTAAAAAGAAATACTGAAAAATTCCATTTTGAGGAGATTGAAAGCGATTTTAATGATGGTGACTCTGTTCATTTAATTTAAAAGAAGAATAAATATTTCTTTCCCTGGGCGCATAGACTAGACAAAGCAACAACTAGTTACAGTTTTCATTAGAAACTTGAAAAAAAGAATTAGTAATAAATAAATAGAACTTCCGATGACAGGAGCTGGGTAGCAGTGTTCCAGAAGGGATTGTAACTACGATACATTGCTGCCTTTTGTGCTCCTCCAAATCCCAATGCCTGCAAGTCTTCCATGTATACCTTTTCTTGTTGATCATTCATATCTCCAAAGCTACCTTTTCGGATCTTCAATTTTGTTAAAATTTGTGTTCTTAACTAAATACAAGACAGATACTGCTATTAATAACCGTCAAAGTGGGCGAGTAAAGTAAAGTAAGCGCTTGGTAGAGCGTATCGCTAACCTTGCGTAAAATTAAAACGTCACTAAACTCAGAACTATCTCGTATGAGAAGTTATATTCGAATGAAATTTCATCGTTTAGAAGTATTCTCATGTATTTTCTGTGATTTATTATGCATTCGAAAGTATTCCAAGCGATCGTGCTATTCAAAACAATGAAAAGGTTTTATTTGCCGAGGAGAGGAAAAGTTAATTGTTTGGAATTGTTAAATTTAGTAGAATCCAAATATAAAATCTAGCTTAGGCGTAAATACATTTTTACAGTAGATATCTTCCGTTTAATTGTTCCAAGTGATTAGAATTATGGTCGAGTCCACAATAACACGACTGTCATTTTTTTTTTCTGAGACTTGGTGGCGATTGGAGATACTAAGCTCACTTTTCCACTATGTGGTTTTATGTCTTGTTGTTTTTCAAATTATCAACAGATATTTCTATGTAGTATTTTCAATTAAATCTCACTTTTTTTTACTGAATCTTAATTTGCTGAACTGGGCGGCGACACGCTTCTGCACTTTATAGCAAAATCGGTTATTATAAGCGACCTGATATTCTTGTCGGTTTTGACACACTTCGTCCCACCAATAATTTTTACGTTTATTAAGATCGATTCTTGAAACCTTCGCCAACTTTTCAACCTACCGAGTTTCGTACTCCATTTCCTAAATTTTGTTATAAATCAGACATCAAGTAATTGACAAGTGCACTCCGATATCTGGAGGGTGAGTCAAACAGACTAACGCTGGGTTGCCGGTTGCGGTTACAGTTATTTCTATCTGTGGATAATTTATTTAAATATTTGTCACTCGCTTATTTGAAAAGTTATAATTTCAACGATTTTGTATTAATTTCTGTAGTTTCTTCTCTTTGCGGATCGGTATTCATATTCTTTGGTTTCGACCAGCCAGCGTAGCCGCTACATCTAAATTCGTTGAATTATGCATGTTAATGGCATCTCATATAGCTTATCCTCTATGGTATACAACGTCGACCACACACGCGAGATCGTCCTCAGCGAATTGTTACGAGTACATTACTTACCCTATTAATTGTTCCGTCATTAGTTATTGGTCATGATTATATAATATAATATATACACACACATATCTATATATATGTTTGTTTATAGTTTGATTATTTTTATTGTTGCTTTATAGTTGAAACACAAGTATGTAGGTATGTATGTATGTGGGTATGTGTGTATGTATATATGTATGTGTTTTTGATCAATAATAAAATTATCGTCTGCATTTAAAATTGAATTAACCAAATCGTCTTATATTGATGTGTTTTAGATTATTTATTTCACTTTTAACAATATCTGCAATTGTGGTGGTAATGTTCATGCTATTTACTTAATCTGTAAGTTACATTTATAAAGGAATAATCAATACATACATATATTAGTTTTCATGTTATACATATTATTTTAATTATGCCGTTTTCGACTTTTAAAAGATCACCAAAGTTACTGAATTCCCATATATCGTTTAAGCGCACAATTCATACAACACATTAGATATGTACATATGAATAATGCGTGTATGCAAGTGTGAAACTCATGCATTTTATGTTTTTTTTTGCTTGTTTTTTTTTTTTTTTTACAGAAAATATTTAGAGCTGCGCTATGGTACATATTTTTAGTTTTAAAACTAAGTACACTCGTGTTATATGTATGATTACTACTATGGAATGATGACATTATTTTATTGATCGGTTTTAGGTTTTGCAAATATGTACATCCATATGTATGTATGAAAGCACTCGTATATACATAAGTACATATTTAATACGAAATCTAATTTATTTAGTTCAAGTACTTGTATAAAAAGTTACAGTTTGAAAATTATTTCTATACCCGGCATAATTATTTAAACATGACTTTTTCATATATAATACTATGAAAATTTCATTTATACATACATATGTACATACATATATTATACGAAATGCAAATAATATATCATACATACACGTATGTAGTATACATACACATATTCTTATATCCAAAAACTTACATTTATTTACTAATTTTGAAACATCTCACATCTCAGTATGCAAATGCTTGACAGAATACACCGTTTTCATTGTTTGTTTAATCAAAACTGTGTAGAAATATACGAATACATATACACATACTTCTATTCAGAAGCTGTCAGAGACTCGCTCAAAAATTTTAGTGTCTTTTTCGCAACATACAATGTTCTTTTTTACCTTTTAAAACCGTTATTTGTATAGTATTTTTCATATGAATAAACCCATACCATACTAAAGGAGGCATAACTCAAACATTTTTATAAATGTGTATATTTCACAGTATATCTGCCTCTACTTATGAGTAAAATTTCAACATTTCACAATATCGAAGTACAAGTTACAATCCAAACGTCGTTCAATCGTCCTCATTTTTATTTGGATTTATATATAACAACAACACTGAAATTATGGAAGCGGGAATTAAAATAAATAGCTTTGCAAGTATGTTGTGAGCGAATAGAGTTTTTAACTTTGACTTGTATAAAACCAAAACAAATGAAAAAGGAAAGTACATCATAATCGTCCCGAAAGATTTTCGAGAAATGTTTTTAAGTGTACTAATTTATTGACATTATGTAAGAGTTGCTGTGTAAGCATATTTAATTTG